AAATAAATTACTAATGGGATTTTAAAAGTCAAATGAAAAACAAACCCACAAGAGTATCAGAAGAAATTATGAGAGTATTTTTATAATCTTGGAGTAGGGAAGGAAAGATTTCCTAAGTGAAATACTAAATCCAAAAACCCTAAAGGAGATTTTTCCTTTCTAGATTTCCTCGTGATTTACAAACACATGTTCACTTGTTTCTGAGTCCCCCCACTAAACAGGAGGCTCCTCAGGGCACCTTTGGGCCACATCTATCTCTCTTCCTGGGCACATAGGAAGAGCTCAAAAAAATATCTGTTGGATGGATAAATCTGACCACATAACAATTAGTAAGCTCAGTGGAAGGAGGCATGATAAACAAAATTAAGAGACAAATGATAGCCTGGGGACTCCACTGGTAAGAAACCTGCGTAGCAAGCAAAAGGCCCTGAATCCAAACCCAAGTACAGTCCCTCCCCAAAAAAGGCACACTAAGTGATGGCCTAGAAGAAAATACCAGGTTGAGCCATATAAAATTTCTATGTTTAGGGAGTCAAAAACAGTTGAATATTGGCAATTTCATGTGGCTCAACATATTTTTGACACATACCAGATGAAGGATGAATCTACCTAATCTATTAAAATCTCTTACACAACAAGACAAACCAATAATTCATTAGATTACAGGACTGGGCATGGTGCATATCTGTAATCTCAGCACTCGGGAGGCAGAGGCAGGAGGATTGCAATTTCAAGATCAGGCCTGGGCTACATAGCAAGACCCTGTCTCAAAACAAAAAACAAACAGACAAAAAACCCCAAAACAATAACAACAACAAAATGGGTAAATGATTTAACAAGCAGAGCACAAAAGAAACAAATGGTAATACATATAAGAAAAGATGATGCCCAATTTCACTGATAAGTAAGGAGAAACAAAAACTGAAACACAAATCATAGCATGTGCCAGAGTGATGAAACATGACTACACCAGGGGCTCTGGTTTTGCTAAGGAGGTGAGGAAGATGCAACCACACATTAGTTGGCTGGAGTAGACACTGGTGCAAACTTTTTTGGAGTATAACTTAGTAGTACTTACTTGATGTGCTCTTAGGACTAGAAATTTCACTTCCATAATCCTTTAAAATATATATTTTAACATAAATGCACAAGAAAGTATAAAGATATTCACTGCAATGTTATTTATAATAGCTAAAAATTGTAGGTAACTTAAGTGTCTTTCTACAGAAGAATAGTTAAGCCTAATTATGAAAATAATGTCATTGTGGAAAATAACAAAGTATACTTGGCTGTCCACACTTGGAAAACTGGGTATGAAATTTTTAAATGAAAACAAGATATAGGGAAGTATGGGTAATTTGAGCCCATTTCTCTGGACACAAAGAAAAATAAATGTGGAAGCAAACAAACCAAAAAGTTAATAGTGGTTGTTTCAGGTGGTATGTGTACAGTAACATTTCCATGTTGTTTTGACTTTTAAATGAGCAGTACATCTACCAACTTTTTTTTTTTTTTCCTTTTTTGGCAGGACTAGGGTTTGAACTCAGGGGTTTGAACTTGTGCTTGGCAGGTAGGCACTCTACGCTTGAGCCACCCCTTCAGTCCTTTGGCTCTGATTATTTTGGAGATGGGATCTTGTTTTTGCCTAGGTGGGCCTATATCACAATCCTCTCATTCTATTCTTCCTGCCATTGTTGAGATGACAGCCATGTACCACCACACCCAGCTTTTTTCCCTTGAGATAGAGTCTCACAATTTTTTTTCCCTGGGCTGGCTGGAACCATGATTCTCCCAAGTAGCTAGGAATATAGGCATGAGCTACTTGGTGCCCAGCAGTTTTGTTTTTTTTTTAAAGGAGCCAAGAAATGTGCTGCCCACTTTGGAGCAAAGAATATTGTAGAGAGAGCCATTACACATCCAAGGACAAGGATCTAAGTTGAGATACCACCAAGTCATATAATGAGCACAGGTATTCAAGTCAGAAAATCTGGGTTTGAGCATGGGATGCTCATCAAGCCTATGACTCTTGGACATCTCACCTATAAAATGGGTTGATACATCTACCTTAAAGAGATAGTGTGACCTACTAAGTGAAATTGGATATTCAAAGTACTTCACAAATGGCAAAGTGCTTCAGAAATCAGGGTAAAATTACTGCTTGGCATGGCAAGGACCCAGCTTGAAAACCAGAAAAACAATACCTATACCTACTCCTACGGGGAAGAAGAGAAATGGCTGGGAACCGACCATTAAAAAAGACTTATCAACCAACTATGTACCATGTGGGCCTCATTTGGCCCCTATTCAACAAACTGTTCAATCAGATTTATGAGAACTGGAAAATGTGAACACTGGTTGTACATATTAGATAAAAGAGGTATTACTTTTTAGATGTGATCATTGTATCACAGCTTTGTGTTTCTTTAAATCCTTATCTTTTAGGAACACATATTGAAGTATTTATGAGTGAAATGATATATCTGATATTGAGATAAATTTCAAAATAATAAAAGCCAGGCACTGGTAGCTCATGTCTGTAGTCCTAGTTACGTGGGGGCTGAGATCGGGAGGATCGAGGTTCATGAGACCTCATCTCCAAAACAACCAGAGCAAAATGAACTGAAGCTTAAACAGCAGAGCACTAGCTTTGCAAGGGCAAAACCCTGAGTTTAAACCCCAATCCCACTAAAAAAAAAAAAAAAAAAAAAATCCCAAAGGAAGGTGGAAAAATGAAACAAGATTGTCTGTTGTAGTTGGGTGGTGATATAAGGGGACTTATGGCATTATTTTCTCTACTTTAACATACATTTGAAATTTAGCATAACTAAAGTTTTTGTGAAAAATAATTGGGCCACATCCTCCTAGGTCAGGAGATACTGACAGCCCCGTGAAGTCTGGGTAGAGGTGCATCTCTGTGCAGACTGGCTCTTAAGATGCTGTGGGTCAGCAGTGGTTGCACTGGCCAGCAGGTGGGGTGATCACACAGATACTAAGACCAGAAAGCACCTATCACAGGAAGTGCTCGATGGGGCAAAGGAAAGAGTGGTAAAATGTAAATGGTGGCTAACAAGATAATTAAATAATCCAATCAGAACCACAGCTGTAGAAGATTATCTTTAACTGGCACAACACTGTTACCAACATGTCATATCAGCATTTAGACTTGAAATATAAATTACAGATGGGTGGTGGCTCAAGTCTGTAATCCCAGCACTTGGGAGGCTGAGGAGGATCATGAACTGGAGGCCAGCCTGGGCTACATAGTTAGACCCTAACTCAAAAGAAAAAAAAAAAAAAAAGGGAGGGGAAGGAAGGAAAAAATTAATTAAAGGATTAACACTTCTTAGGCTTATCCTTTAATACTGTTTATTTATTTATGTTTTGACAGGGCCTATACTGGTTTTAAACTCCTGGGCTCAAGTAATTCTCCTGCCTTAGCCTCCTGAGTAGCTGGGACTACATGTACAGGTCACCATGCTTGGCTCAAGTCCTTTAACACAATTTTAGGAAACCACTAACTCAGTGGGAGAGTGTGTGCTTAGCACATGTGAGGCTCTGGCCTTAATGCCCAGCACCAAGAAAAGAAAAAAGACTATTTTCAAGAAGAAACCTCCAAGTCCCAACATATCAAACTGCTCTTTTAATAAAGTTAAACAACACAGTAGGAAGTAAGCTGCCTCCAAAAGTTCAGTATTAATGGTGGGGGAGGGAGAAGAAGGGATGAAAAAGTCCTTTAGAAAAGCTTTCTTTGTTGTTTTTGGAAGCTAAATTTCAACTAGTCTTTCGTGGTGCTTAAGACCATCTGAGAGAGCAGGCGAGAGACTTCCATCCTTACTCCCAGCTCTCCCCTGGCTGCCCGTAAGCAGAACAAGGGACGATATCCAGTGCTTTAACTTTCTGAACCAAATACCATCCCTGTGAGTCCAATCAGAAAACCTGATGATGATGGACCTAACCCCCCAAATCCACAATCCCCCATCACCCCTACAGCCTAAAGAAAAGGGTCCCTGGTTTGGCTCTGCCACTACTAAGAAGGCAAGGAGTCTCACAATTCATCTGTGAAGTGAGGCTCTGGGACGGTGTTCTAACGTCCTTTTCAATGTTTTGGTCTTTTATTTTTTTTAAGCAGCGTCTTGCTATGTAGCCCAGGCTGGTCTTGAATCCCTGATCCCCCTGCCTCAGCCTCCCGAGCAGCTGGGATTCCAGGTGGGAACCACCACACCCAGCTCCTTTCAATATTCTTATTTGTACACAGGCTTCTCATCATCTGACTAAAGGAACAAAGCATCAGGCTGTGACAGACGGGCTTTCCTATGAAATCTAAGCACTAGTAATTAAGGAAGCTGAAGAGAAACAGAGAATCTTCAACTCCTGCTAAGACTGCTTACTTTAGGCTAGCTGGAGGAGGCAATGAAGACTGTAAGAATCCTAAATGCTCCCACAAAAGTAAACACTCTCCAAAGTGAGGAGAACCCAGAGGGGAAAGGGTGGAGGAGGAACGGGAAGAAATCAAGGTCCCAGGGCTCTCCCTGGCCCACCCATCACCTTCCATATGAGCTGGATTCAGGTGCCACAAGACCCCCATCTTCTGTGTGTCTACATCCTGTCTCTAAGACCCAGCATAAGAACTGAAGCATTGAGGCTCAACACACAACCTAAAATGCCAGCATTCACAGGTGGAGCCTGTGTCTGAGACAAGTTCAAAGAATCCTAAAATAACCTCAAATAAACCATCAAACCATCTGTTCAAGGCACAATATAAATATTTCAGCTTGGCCATTCTTTCAACAAAGCAGGTCTTTTTAGGTGAGATCTGTGATCATCTCAAGAGATAAATTCCAGGCTGCTACTGCTGTTCAAACAGCTTTTGCTGTGTATTTAAAACCACTGTCTCTTTTTCAGCAAGACATACCCACTGGCTGCTCTCTTGGGAAAAACAAACAAACAGATGCAGATAAGAAAGAGCAATGGCTTGTTCAACTTGGTACTCTGCTTCTTACCCACGTATTCTGAGAGGAAGACGACAAAGAACGGAGTGACCAGGTCATTAATTCCCTGGACATACCCACTGGCAGGGTGTCGGATGGCCCAAATAAATAGAATCCTTTCAAAGATCTAGGAAAATGAGAGAGAAAGAAGACACGAGTGTTAAATCACGAAGACACACTCCCACTCTCCATTCACCTGCTTCAGCTTATCTCACAGTTGGTGTGACTGTAAGAACAATTTATAATACTGTGGGACAAAGGATGAAGAATGTAAATCCAGAAAATGCAAAGAGTTTCTAATATATTAGTTGTTTTGATGCTTCTTACCCTTTATCTTTTCAGCATCTAGGTATCATGACATAAAACTGAGAAAAGGAAAGGATAGTGACACAAATTTATTAAAAACAAAAAGCACCAGTGTGCTGGTGCATGCCTGTAATCACAGCACTCAGTAAGTGGAGGCAGGAGAGTTGTGAGTTTGAGGCCAGTCTGAGCTACATAGCTAGTTCTTGGCCAGCCTTCGCTATATAGCAAGACCCCGTTTCAAAAAACAAAAACAAACAAACAAAAACCCCCAAGGACTGGGGATATAGCTCAGTGGCAGAATGCTTGCCTACTATGTGAAAGGCTCTGAAATCAATCCCCAGCATCATTAAAAAACAATAACAATAATTGGCAAAAGATTGCTATGGATGTCACTAACTTAAGCCACCACCTTCTCAACTGTGCACGCTGCTTCTCTATTTCCAAGACCAAGATATTAGAGCATCACAGTTGGTATCCTCTTCTCAATCTTTTTTGGTCATTATAGAATTTAGAGAGGAAATACTTCACCTCCTTCCCCTCTCCCTGCTGAGAAGGAAGGAGATCTAGATATAGTTTTATTCCAGCCTGACAAGGAACAAGTGACACACTACACACAGGAAGAAGTTCCTTTAAATATCAGGATACAACCCAGACAGCTGCTGGGGACAGGAAGTCAAACGACCCAAATCCTATGGACCCTGACAGCTGGGACTTTGAGAAAAAAGAAATCAGCCTAGGCTCCCATGGGAAAGCCTCTGGGGTTAAGCATATTGTCAAAAGAAGCCAGAGGCCTTCGTTGGGGATGGAGAAAAGATCCTATGGTCCCTTAGCAGAATCTGTCCTGTCCCATTCAACTAAACTCCCTTCTGCTTTCATTGGGCCCTCTGAGCTTTCTCTCAATCTGATGATCTCCACTGCCTGGTTTTCTTTTTTGTTTGTTTGTTTGTCTGGCTTTCTAATGACATTCTTGGCAATGGCTTTGACTGTGCTGCCTCAGAGATCCATGAGCCACACCAGAGGACGGCAGACATGAGGGTGACAGCATGCAGGTGGGACAGGAGATAAGACAGCCTTCATAGCACACAGACTCTCAGAGCTCCAACCAGCCGGCTCCAGGGTCACACAGAGGGCCCCTCCAAGCAGGCAAGGCCTATCAGGGAGACTAAGAAAAGGGAAGTGGTTATGTGGTTTTTGGAGATGGTTATCTAGCATAGGAAAGAATCTAAAGACACAATGCAGGATATTTCTCAGTCCATGTGTCACAGATAGCTTGGTCTGCTTTCAGCTATCTGAGAGAGCCAGTCAGAACAAAGTTCTATCTGGAACTGAGTTGGCTTCTCTGCTGCTACTAGACTTACCCACCTGCTCTCTGTGACTGAGGGAAGGGTGTGGAGTCCTCGTTTGTATCAGGCCCAATACTCTACTAGGAACCCTCTTACACTCCTTCTTCTCTGTTGCTAAATGATCTCTCTCCCTTCCTTGAAAATGTAGCCCAAACTATACCCACCATGTTTCAGAAAACTCTCAATAATTCCCTGCCTCTCTCTGTTTCCTTACACCTCTTGTGGCCTATGTCTACCTGGATGCCAGAGGTGCAGCTCAGTGGTAGAATGTTTGATTAGCATGAATGAGGCCCTGAGTTCCATCCTAGCACCACAAAAACAAATCAAACGAACAAAAAAAAAAATGGTCAACCAGGTCAGTCCTTTTGAAGGACTTACAAGAGCTTCTTACTCTACACTACTGGTGCTTGTGAATACACAAATCCTAGCTTCAGCGGTGGTCAAGTATGCGAAAGCTGGCTGTTCAAATCGGGAGACCAGTAGTAATGTCTCTTCAGTAAGGATGTGGACAATGTATACATGCTCACTCTGTCCCAGTAAAGATGTCAAAGAGATGCCATCTGAAGACAACAAGTTTGGGTGTAGGGAGAACATGGGATCTGCACTATAAGAAAAGTTTGAGATAATCCAGCCCTATAGAGAGGAGTGGATAGGGTAATCCCTGAAGCGTCTCCTCATCTCCTCTACTAGCATGGGAGTCTTGATTCACTGTACACAAGTCTCAAGTATCTTCCAGGCTTGCAAGCCTTTCAATATGCAGTGTTACTTAGTTCTTTGCTCCTCAGCTGGCATTTTTACTCTGCTTAACATATAGAGGAGATTCAAAAAAAACTGGAAAGAATAAAAGTTTGAGTTTCCGTCTTTGTACTCAGGTTCTACTACAAGGAAAAGCCTTTTAAACAAACTCCTATCCCCATCTTCAAGTTCAGAGGTAGGCAGCAAGAACAAGTAAAAGCTAAGCACCTAAACATCAACAAGCAGAAACAAGAGATCAGCAGGGCTGAGTCATGGGAAATTAATGGGAGGAAGAAAGGGGTCCTAGATGTGTTTTCAGCTTCCTTCGAGTTGACTCTTATAGGTAAGATAATGGTGTCACCCTCAAAATCCTCCTTACAGTATTGGCTAAGTCATGAAGGATCTCACCAGGAGAGACAAGTATATTTACACAGAACTGTGAGCACCATCCAGAGCCAAATGCCCAATTTATTGTGAGTATTTTTACCACCATGCCTCTATTACCAGGACTGAATGCTCAGTTCAAAGAGCTTAACATTCAGCATTTTGGCTACTGCAGAGCTGCAAAGCAAACTCCTGACCTCAAGGGGTTGACAGTTACTGCTTGGCCTAAAGATAGTAGTCCCACTGGGACCTTCCAAGTGCTTCATGAACTTGTTAGGTCCAAAATATCACCACTAATTTCACCTCTGGATTTAATCCAAAAGAATTTAAAATAGACACTAAACTAGGTATTTGTACACTGATACTCATTGCAGCATTATTCACAACAGCTAAAAGGAAAAAAGCAGCCCATGTGTTCATCAACATATGAATGAATCATCAATATGTTACATACATGCAACAGAATATCATTCAGCCTTGAACAGGGAAGGACCTCCTGACACATACTACAACATGAATAAACCTTGAAGGCACCATATTAAGTCAGTTTAGCCAGTCCCAAAAGGACAAATACTATACAGTTCATTTATCTGTGGTGCTGGAGTAGTCAAATGCAGAGAGACAAAAAGTAGAATGGTGACTGCTAGACAATGGGGGATTACTGTGTAATGGTTACTAAGTTTCAGTTTGGGAAGATAAAAAAGATCTAGAGAAGGAAGGTGGTGACTCGCAACAGAGTGGATGTACTTACTTAATGCTACTGAACTGTGCATTAAAAACAGGCGCAAATGGTATATTTTATGTATATTTTACCACAATTAAAAAAAATCATTACTTCCAGTTTGATAAAGCAGAGAAAACCTAAGAACAGGAATTTTAAGATGCAGGTTCTTCATTGACAACGGGTGGCCAAGACTCTGGGCGAACTCCTCACCTCTCTAGTGCAAATGAGAGGGCATGAGAAGCACCTGACCAAAGCTCCATGTGGGAACACAAGAAACTATCCTGACCGGCTGCAGACCGTTAACAGGCCTCTGGGCTGTGGGCGGAGAGCAGTAAGTTTCTCACCTCCTGTACAAGTGGCTGCTGGAACAGTGGAATGAGGGGATTGGTCCTTGGAATGTCAATGTGAATCTGAAAAAGAGAAGCCATATCCAAAAACGCAAATGCCAGTGTGTTCTTTTGACAAGTATTTTCTTAAGAATTAGGACTCAAAAGAGTAAAAGTTAGAGGAAAGTCCACTTAAACCACATATGTGGAGCTAGAGCTCACCCAACAGTGAGGCAACCTCCCAAAATAAGCCACTTCCATCAAGAGCAGTGGGCTTCCCAACCTCAGGGAAGCCAGTGCTTCCACCTGTTTCTCTGGAGTCTGATCACTCTGGGCTGGCATTATTTACCAGGAGTGATCAAAGTATGCAGCCCTCTTTCAAAATCTTACTCATGAACCGTTCCCAAGAACGGTTGAGGACTAAGATCTCAAACTGCTGCAAAACATGCAGGGTAGGGAAGCAGAGGAGGACTTGCTTATGAAGTCATGACATGTAGAAGGTGAGGAAGGACCAGCTGGTTACCAAAGAGGTCAGTCACTATAGTTGGTTTTGACTCCATGGACTTCCCAATGCCCAGTCTAACCATCCTAAAGACCATGTCCACAGCAGCAGAGGCTACTTTAGTTCTTGGGGCTGGTTGAAGACAGCTGTCCGTCCTCCACCTTCCACCACCCACAGACTCCCCTCTTCTCCCTCTGCATGTGAGGCTGCTGGCAGACCTCTCCACAGGCCATGAGGACCTCTATGGGCAATGATGGAAGACACCTTGTTTGCGATGACTCCTGCAGACAGACAGACATGGGTGCTGTCTGGGCACTGCAGCTCCCAGAAGGACACACTGAGGTCACAGTGCTGAGGGAATGGACTACTCCTGAGTGAAACTGCCTTTCCTCTCGTGTTCCACAGCCCTCACTACTCACAGTGGGCCTGTGGATGGGCATTGTCCATGCTACCAGGGAGCTAGTTAGAAGTGCAGGCCTCTCTCCAGACCTGTATTTTCTCATAACTCTTGGGAGATTAATCAAGGTCCCAGGTGACTTGTGTACACATTAAAGCTTAGCAAGCACTTTCACTGACCAGAGCTAAAAACACCTACCTACTTAAAACAGCCAAAATCAGAGCTGCTGAATGAAAAGAGGAGATGGAGCTCTGGGGATAGAGCCAATGCCCAGCTGCACACCACAGCCTGAGGAACCGGACAACTTCTGCCAGAAGGCACACATCAAGAACATAACAACTGAGCAAGAGGCGGCAGGTGAGGGCTGTACCTGTCGGTAGGTGTCCTGATGATGTTCCTCATTTCGAGAGTCATAATACTGCTCAATGAAGCCAAAATACTCCTCCCGCTTCCGCTGCAGGGTCAACGTCCGCCTCTCAGTGTTTGCTGGGAGATAGCCCTGTGGACAAGACTGCACATCAGGTGGGACAAAAGTGGGGTTGGATATGTCCTTAATTTTTGTTTTATCCCAAGCAATGACTTGAAGCACTCAAAGGAACAGAAGGCCTTGCCAGAAGGACGAGAGTAATCCCTCTTGATTTTGGTCACTCACTGTCGACCTCTCTTCAGCAGTGAGAGCCACATGTGCAGACGAGACAAAGCGACTTTCCTGGGTTATTTCCTCCTTGGGCCCTGTACTGCGCTTGGAGCTTGTACCATGGGGAGCACTCTATTGTTCCCAGAGCTGGCACCACAGAATGTAGGTCAGTGGGAGGGAACTGGGCCTGAGTCAAGGTCTTGCAGGGCCATGTGTGTAGGGTCACACTTCTGGGAATCACAAAGATCTGGCAACTTCTATGCTACATCTGATGATGTGCCAAGCAACCTAGTACTGATTACACAGTGTTTCCAGTGTAATACTCAGAGTCACCAGCTTAGGAAGCTGAATGGAACTGTGACACAGCAGTTACAATGCCCAGACACAACTTCTGGCAGCAGCCCCCTCCTAGCCAAAGCTCCAGGCCAACTTTCGCTCTTACTCTGGTCTAGATCCCACTCTCGTTCTTACATCTCTTGTTCTCCTTCTGCTCACCAAGTCCACTTTGAACAGCATTCAAACTGAAGTGATGAGGAGAGACTCCCTCCTCTCAAAGAGGTTTGTGTAATGCATTGCACAGCAGAGCCTGCAGGGTAGGGACGGGGGGCTATTTGATTCTGGATATGTTCACAGCACCTGGCACTGTGCCTGGAGAACAACAGGCCCTCAAAAACTTCTTACTAAATGAATGAATCAATTTTACAAACTCAGACTATTCCCCATATTCCTCTTGCAGTGGCTGGCACAGGGCTCTGGGCTTGATGAAAATGAAATTAGTATGGCTTCTGAGATGGGCCCACATGGCAACTCTTCACACTTGGGTTATTCTCACTGCAAAAGGAGCCAAGCACAGAGCTTGCTCAGAGCAAGTGCTGGGCTTCCCCGTCTTGCTACATTTCTCTTCCTCACTGTTAAAAAAGTGAAATCATGACCACAGAAGCCAACTTGTGCCCTTCTCATGTGCGGGAATAAGAATATAGCCCCATCCTGCAAGGGCAGGAATAAATTCTCAAGAATGTGTCTCTGTGCACAGCCCCACAACTCTGTCACATCCCATGGGACAAGAGCAGCCTATGGAGTAACACCAACACATCCAGACTAACCTCATCAGCAAGAAGGGATGTGTAAGGCTCACGCTTCCCTACACAGTGGGTAGAACTCACCGACAGGAGTCTCCAGGTTACAGGCCGAACCTCCCTGGGAACCCCTGGCCAGCTACACTTCCTCAGCTCATCTGCAAACAGAGAACAGCCTCATTGGATTAGGTCCTCCCACGAAGGCCCTAAGACAAACCTGAACCAGCACTGCCTGATGCCTACCATTCAAGTAAGATCACCACTGCCGCCATCGCCTGCTACCAACAAGCAAGGGAAAGGCCCAAAACAACAGCCCTGAGCAGCAGAGTGCCAAGGACACGGTCCTGCAGCCGCCATCAGTCAGCTCAGAGAGGAGAGTTAGAGGGGAACTGGAAGGCCCATGGGTGTGGACTTCAGTGAGAATCGCCTAAGACAAAAGAGACCAAAGCCAGAGGAGCTCACTATGGTCTACAGGCCCCAGAAACCAGTCTCGCCTCATTTGGGACTCATCACTCGTGATACACTTCTGCCTTAACACCTGCATGTTGCTGCAGTGGGTGCCAGACCAGGAGATGCTAGAAAAGTAAAAGAAGGAAGAGTAAAGAGCAATAGCCTCCAGGTCTCTGAGAATCCAGTCACCAAGAGCTCCTACCATGCCCGGGGCTCACAGGAACTCACCTAAGTCAGTGTTGTGGCTGGAGAGAAGCTGACGGAATTTTTCTAGACGGGTTTTCTCCCGGACTGTCATTGGGGGTGCGCCAGAAGCATTCTGGTCGGAGATCCGGGCAACGAGGGGGATGATGGGCCGGAGAGGGAGTGACTGTTGTTTGTGGAGTGGGTTCCTCAGGCATGTGTCACCTGAGATCATTTGAAAGAAAAAGAGAAAAGCTGTATGAAGAGCATAGGTTCTGAGAAAACTCAATTCTGCCTGTCGGGTATGATCCCTCCTTCTCCAGAGTAGGGCTGTACCTGTGTGCACCACCTGAGGCTCTAGCTGAGCTCCGTGCATGTGTGTATATTGTCAGATGAAGGCAATTCATGTGCTACCAGACTGCAGGTGCTGCAGCCACTTCTGAGAACTGGGGTGGTGATGCCAAGGGAAATCAAATGCTTTTTAATCTCAACCTGAACTTTCTTCAGTGCATCCAAGAGAGTCCGGTGGCCAAAGTCTGAGGCAGCGCTCTCCTTCCCTTTCCACACCACCAAGCACAGCACAGGTGCGGAATGGCTACCCCAAGGGCTAGGGGACCAACAGCTCGGCACAACTCTAAACTGTTCTAGGCCCACCAGGAGGCCCTGCACAGCAGGTGAGGGGCTCTGGCCAGAACAATTCCTCTGTGCCCCTACCCCCATTTCCCACCAAAATGAACCATATTTGGATACTGATATGATATAACTGAGGCACAGAACACAGACTCAAGCTGACTTGGTGTCTCGCTCTAAGTCAGATGGTGGTAGAGGAACGTACAGTTCAGGACTAATGCTTATTGAGTGCTTACTATGTATCAGGCATCCTGCTGGTGACTTTTAAACATTATCACTCACTCATCTGATCCTTGCAACATATGGTAAGAGTTTTTAACTATTTTCCAGAAGAGGAAACTGCAGCCTGGAGAAGTAACTGTGAAAGTTGAGGTGACATCTTAGGTATATCCGACTCCAAAACCCTTACTTGTTTAATTGCCACAGAGAAAACTGAGGTTTTAATTATGACTATCTTTTCATATTCTTAACCTATCTGGGCCTTAAAAAGCAGTGGTTATGACAAATATTTAACAGTGAATACTAGTCAACCAGTACTACTAGAAGGTTTGCAAAAACAACTGCCACAGGTCCTTGCCTGGGATGCCTAGAAAATGCATACCAGGGCCAGGGATGTAGCTCAGTGGTAGAGCAATTGCTTAACATGAACAAGGCCCTGGGGTCAATCCGTAGCATCAGGGGGGAGGGGAGAGAGAAGGAAAGAAAAAGAAAATGCAGACCTCACACTGCAAAGCTGAGACAGACATGCATCTCTAATGCTAGCTATTAACAAACAGACACACACAGGAGGGAAGCTCTGTAAGGGAAATGTGCTGGGGGTGGGGGGGGGTCCTCACTGCACAAAGGCAACTCATCACAGATCATAGTGGGGGCATTCCTTCCGCTAGGAACCTCTTGAGCCCCCCCAATCATGGCATGTGGACACTTTCCACAGCCTGTAGCTGTAGTCACCTGGTCAATCAACACTGAATGCTTGTCAAGGTCCAGCACTGAGGTTTCAAGCTGGGACCAGACTCCATAATTGGAAAAACAACTGTGTAAAGACCTTACAGTCTAACTGCATAACCATGTGCTTAGTCTGAAGCAATAAAAGAAATTCTCTACGAACATGAGCTAGGACACACTCCAGACTCTGACATTCTACTTTCTTTTCATCTATTACCAGTGAGCTGTTTTAACTTTTGCTACAATGATAGCTCTTCCCTCTCCTGCTCAGAATAACCGACTTCCATAAAACCTTTCAGGACAGCAATAAACACAGCAATGGGTATATCAATCTATACAATGAAAGTCCCAGACATCTAATACCGCCATCAGCCCCACCAGCTACGAGGCCAGTTTCCTGAAAAAACATAGAACAGACCTCTCCTCCCACCCACCCAGTCTAATGGTCAGAGGGCTGTGACCTGACACCTTCTGGCTCCCTCCCACAGAAACAGGAAAAAAACCCACCTTATGTCAAGGAAGTCAATCAACAGTGCCATTAACAATTTTAAATACATTAGTCAATATTCATAAACCTGACAGTCCTAAAGCAGTATGAAGTAATCAAACCACAAAAGTTTTGGATCCCACCACAGGGAAGGGAAGAAGAGAAGAGGAAGAGAATGGTAGGCAACATTTGGGTGTCAGGAAGTAAAGGCCCAGGTCACAGGGCTAAGCACCCACCACAGAGGGAGGGGCAAGTTTGTGACCATTAGGCTCGCTAATGTCCTACTTTAGGCTTTAGCGCACTTTTTATCATCCAATGGAAGATGTGAGTGATGCCCTAAAGAAAAATTGCTTTTATTTAAAGTGCACTCTGCTGAGAAGGATGACGCTATGGCAGAGCAGGATGGACTTACTGGAGTTTCTGGATAGCTGGGCATCACTGCTGGACTTGATCACCTTGTAGTTGGCAGGGACGTCAGATGTTGTTGACTGGGATCGTTCTGGCTTTACCCTCAGCTTGCTGTGGTTTTCCAGGACTTGGGCTGCAGTTGCCAAAGCAACTTTTGAGTTCAGAGTTTGGAAAGAAGGTGAGGAAAAGTCCTCTTCCTCATCATCGCCAATATCCCAAGCATCACTGGTATTCCGGGCAAACTCATGAAAACTGGAGGCCTTTTTACTCTTCAGAGGAACTGTGTTGACTTTTGACCGTTCTTTAATGAAGCTTCAAGAAAGGAGACAACATTACCAAGGAGTGGTCTGACACATCCGACCACCTTCATTAGCTTGCTTTATAATATTTATAATACAACAAACTACCCATATGTGATTATTACCTTCTTTGAACAAAACTGCTTGTCTAAATACATCCCAAACAGACCCGTGTAACAGACAGAGGTAGTGGACACAGCAATGGTCAGCAAGTCTTCCAAGTGCTCCTCTGTATTTCCCAGTGCCCTTGCACTTAAGCGAGGCCCTGTGAAGGGTTTTGGCTGAGGGGCTGAGAGGAGAAGCGAGGCAGTCACTTCCAGGCCAGAATATAAAAAGAACAGGTGTGAATTCTCCGTGACCTCTCTTCTGTCATGATGACTGGCAAGGTTCCACATGGCAGGGCCTCCCTTAACCTGGGTAACTGAGTGACTATGGAGCACAGCCTGCCGTCCACCCTTACCCTATCCCATTTTGGACACAAGCATGAGCAAGAAACAGACCTTAAATGTGTTAATCCACTGAGATTTTACAGTTAATTTGTTATGGCAATATGAACTAAACTAGTCATTAGAGCAGGACATAAACCACTAATAGAAAAGGAGATGTTTTTAGGTTGTCCACATATGTAGCAATAAGCAAGAAATTCCAAAATGAAAACATTACTTTTTAAATTCTGTTAAAAGTCCACTGTCAGCTGGCTGCTGGTGGCTCATGCCTGTAATCCTAGCTACTCAGGAGGCAGAGATCAGGAGGTTCACAGTTTGAAGCCAGCCTGGGCAAACAGTTCTTGAGATCTTAGCTCAAAAAAAACCCAACACAAAAAAGGCTGGTGGATTGGCTCAAGTGGCAGAGCACCCATCTAGCAAGCTCAAGCAGTAGAGCACCTACCTAGCAAGCGTGAGGACCTGAGTTCAAACCCCAATGCCGCTTAAAAAAAAAAAAAGGCGAGACCCTGTTCAAATCCCTTATTCAAAAGACAGCTTGTAGATACAAATTGAAAGGATACATTCCAACATAATGAGTAGGGAAGCAGGGAGGAAAGGCTGTCCTCCACTGAGTCACAAAGATAGAAGGGAAAAACAAAACCTGTGAAAACTGATTAAAAAGGCAAGAGGAGGGTGAGTGAGCACTAGAGGGTGGATTTAATCAAAGCACATTATATGCACATGTGACAATTCACAACAAAACCTGCGTACAATTCACACACACTAACAAAAGGAAGAGGAGGAGGAGATATGGTTCGAGGCAGACCATTTTGAGGCTCCAGAAATTATTTTAGGGACACCTACCTGGCCCACAAAACCCAAAAATCAACAACTATCTAAAATGTTAGCTTTGTTGTGAGGAACGTAGTTTTACGGAGGAAAGGGCTGGCATCACTCAGAAGATGGTAGGGGTCTGAAGTCAGAATAAAGTTGGTGAGAGCACCCACAAGGATGACCTGACTTAAGTCAGGTCTACTTGATCCCAGAGCCAGCTTACACTCTGACCGAAAAAAACTAGTTAAAAAGAAGAAAAAGAAGAGGGTGGAGGCAAATGAGATCTCCAGCCCAAAAAGAGGGGACAAGCACTCTCTTAGCTGGTAGGAAACTTGCTGCCATCAGAATGGGCTTTGTGGGTCAGACTTAGGAAGCCTGAAAGGGAAGAGACCACTTCTAGGGATGGGGTCCCCTCCCTGTTGACTCTAATAGTTGCAGCAAAAAGTTAATGCAGGTAGTTCTAGTTGGAGTTTCTCCTTTTAATATGGCCCAACAAATTTATTCCTAATCCAAGGTACAAAAATGTCATAGTGTGGCTTGAAATTTAACCAAGATTGCTTAAACACAACTACACTAAAGTTACAACAAACCAGCCTCTGATAAACCCCTTCCCCACACCTCCTGCAAACTATACACCAAAGTGTAGTCTAGAAAGCCCCTTCACAGATACCCACGGATCTTCACAGCAAGTCTGTGAGCGAGCCTTCTTATCTCTACCTATGGATGAGGAAACTAGGGCTTAGAAAGATTAAGAACTTGCCAAAAGTCATGGAGCTAGTAGGTGGCAAAGAAAAAAGATCCAAGAAGTCCAGATGACACTAAAAACCCTCAGAGATGTAATAAATGGCACATTTGAGTGAGACCTGGTGAACAACATTTTGAAGAAGAGTGGTCTCAGGTTTTACCAGTTAAGAAAACAAAAAGCTGGCCAGGCACAGTAGCTCATGCTTGTAATCCCACCTGCTCAGGAGGCAGAGATTGGAGGATCAAGGTTCCAGGCCAGCCCAGGTAAAAAAGTTCACAATACCCCATCTCAACCAATGGCTGGGCATGGTAGCAAACACCTATCATCCCAGCGTAAATAGTAGGATCACAGTCCAGGCCAGCCTGGGCAAAACTCTATCTCAAAAATAACTAAAGTGGCAGAAAGCCTGTCTAGCAAGCTCAAGGGCCTGCACTCAAAATCAAATACCACCGAAAACCAAAACGAATCACAAAAGACTAATCGTTCCATTTTAATGAAATGGTGGTTCACTTAATAGAATGTTTTGGTTGATGTAATATTTGTGCATGTTTATGAGGATACAATAGAATTTTTAGAAAAAGGTTTGACACTGGTAAGTGAAAAGGAAATTTAGAGGTGGCACAGACAGTGTATACACCTGTGAGTAAATGCAAAAACGATAAAATAAAAAGAAAAAAAAAAAGGAAATTCAGTAACATTCAAATAAATCCAGTCATGTTATCACTGGTGTGGCTTCACCTGAACTAGTTTTTGAACTTGGAAGTAAGACCTATCGTACTTCAGCATCAATTCAGAAAACAAGACATTTAGAAGCTTGTCACAGCATCACGTGGCCATGGGGCTGCTCACCAATGAGACTAATTTTATCTGAGCTATAAAAATCATTGCAGGCAATATTACCACTAATAGTAATAATCTGGCAAGCTGAAGTCAATATACCTGGACAGGGAATGACTTACTGTGCTCAGGCAGTTTAGGTAATTGAAGACCCTGTGTAAAGGCTTTTGCCTGGTGGGGGTTAACCACACAGTAATTAATGAAGGTGTGGAGCAGAACATAACCATGTAATGGAGAAAGCAATAAAAATGTCCCAACAAAGGTGTGACATGAGTGCGGTAAATGTTTCATAGCAGCAACCTGCACCTGTAAAGCAGACTGGTGGAAGGAAATGTCCCATGTTTAGCGTGTTCATACCAAGTTGGCACAGAGACAATTAAATTCCAACCAACTTGCAAAGCTAAGTGAGTACTTCTCCTCAAAGTATGACTGCAGCTCTGCTGCGTGATCAATGAAAGTGTTCATGGCTTCACATAATGAGCGGGCGAGAAAACAAAAGCATGTAAAGTCTGCTTTGGCCGTTTGGGAAATGGTGATATGACTGACGATCTGCACTAAGGACAGAATGGGGGAAACTCAGTTAATGAAAGATGCAGGCACGGTATGGTGACCCTGACTGAAATGTAAACTGACAGTATACCCTACTGCCTAATGGATAGGGGGACAGATGGATTTATATGGTACTTGCACGTCTATGAAGGCAATTATAAAACTTGCTGGAATGGATCTTTCGATAACCAACTCCTGGCTCTGATGCAACTGCTTCTGGCTACAAGAATGCTCTGAAGAGCAAAAACTGGGCTGGCATCTCCATAATCTCCAGTCTTTCCCTCAGGGTTAGTTAGTGCTACAGCTCACAGCATGCCACTTCCACACTACCATATCCAAAAGTGGGAAAGAGATGAGTGGATGAAAGAGCCTTGCTTTACAGAATGATCTCTCTGACCAAAACAGAGTGTCTTCCATGAGCTCTCCCTCAGGAGATGTTCTTTTATGTCTCATTGGCCAGAACTACTGAGATAAGCCTACCCAAGACCAGCCACTGGGATCACCAAAGGATTATCATAGGCAGTGTAACCCAGTCTTAATACCTGCCCTAACAGTATTCACTGTCATTTACTCAAGTATGACTGTTTTGTTTTTTTGTTTTTTGTTTTTTTGGCAATACTGGAGTTTGAACTCAGGGCTCCCTGCTTGTAGGTAGGCATTCTAACGCTTGAGCCACTCCACCAACCTTTTTTTGTGTGTTTGGTGATTTTGAGATAAGAGTCTTGTTTTTTGCCCAAGCTGGCCTCAAACTGTGATCCTCCTGATCTCTACTTCCTGAGTAGCTAGAATTACAGGTGTGAGCCACTGGCTCCCAGCTCAATCCTGGCTCTTGTGCAGGGAATAATCAGGAGTGGGGAAGAGTATCAAGTACGTAATCAATAGAGCCTACCACATTGGCCAACAGACCAGAGTTTACTCTTGATAAAACCAAGGAAACAGAATTTATTCTATGTAATGACAATATCACTCAAACATCACAGAAAACGTGCTCCCCTTAAGAGCTAGTACACCAAACATAGTAGCTCACACCTGTAATCTCAGAACTTGAGAGGCTGAAGCATGAGGATCACAAGTTTAAGGCCAGCCTGAACTACACAGTAAAACTGTCTCAAAATATTTAAAAAAAAAAAAAAGTTAATACATGGTACAAACCAAGGAGTATGAAAGAAAAGCCTGTTGCTAAAGTAAATAAGAATTTCATTCCTGCACCTTATTAGTGTTTACTCAGTGCCTACCACATGCCCCATGCTGTGCTAGGTGCTGAAAGAATAAGTGGTGAACAAAACCAAGGCCTCTAGCCAGGTGCTAGAATCCTAGCTCTGGGGTCTGAAACAGGAGGATTACTAGAGCTAAGGAGTTCAAAGTCAGCAGAGCTTATAGTCTACAATGGCTTCCTGCATGCACACCAAATCACACAAGGAACAAGTTGGTAGAATTCACCTACATTATTTAAAAAATATAAATATCTGGTACAGCACTTTTCTACATATCAAAATACTTTACTGCACATTACGTGTGCGTGTGCGCACATGTGTCTGTGTGTTGTGTGTGTGTGCATATGTGTGCGCACATGTGTGTGTACGCATGTGTGCATGCATGTGGGTAACACGTGCGTGTGTGGAGGCGGGGGTCTGATCATGTAGCCCAGGCTGGCTTTGGACCTCCTTCATCTGCCTACCAAGTGCTAGAATCACAGGTATGTGCCACAATGCTCAGCTCACATTATCTTTTTTGTTGTTTTTTAAAGACTATTTATTTAGCACAGTTTAAGTTCACAAAAAAAATCAAAAGGAAGGTACAAGACCTTTCCTGTATCCGCCCACTCCCACATGAACACAGCCTCCCCAGTAGCAACACCCCACCACAGGGGTGAACCCAACCTAGGCATCATCACCACCCGAAGTCCATAGTTCACATCAGTCTTGGTGTTGAACACTCTATGGGTTTGTACAAATGTATAATGATGTGAATCTGCCATTATAGTGTCTGCCCTGAAATCCTCTGCCTGTCTGTCCCTCTCTCCACCCTCAACTCCTGGCAACCAGAGATCTTGTTACTATCTCTATAAGTTTGCCTTTTCCAGAATGTCATATAGTTGGAATCATAACTGCAGATTCTCTATACTTCCCCATTGACTGTGAAGGAAGAAAGGTGTAAACCAAGAAGCACTTGTGTGATACTATTACACAAGCCCCAGGAGAGTGAAAACCCAGATCTAGTCTGGACCTCCCAAATTACTCCTAACCATAAGCTTTCCCAGAAGAAAGTCTTTAAGATCAGCGGTCCAAAGAAGAGGCCAAGTCAGAAAATCTAAGATGACCTGCCTCCTCATTTAAATTCACTGTGGCTGAGCGATGCCTATGAGACAAGCTGCAATACAGTGATAACTAGGGGACAGACACACAGCCACACATCTTGGCTTTAACTCATCTCTATTGTGTTTGAAAATAATGTATTAGTTTTTGAGGGGCTGGAGGTGTGGCTCAAGTGGTAGAGTGCCTGCTTAGCAAGTGCAAAGCACTGAGTTCAAACTCCAGTACCTGCTGAGCACCAGTGGCTCACGCCTGTAATCCTAGCTACTCAGGAGGCAGAGATCAGGAGGATTGCAGTTTGAAACCAGCCCAGGTAAATAGTTCATGAAACCCTATCTTGAAAAAACCCCATCACAAAAAAAGGACTGGTAGAGTGTCTCAAGGCATAGGCCCTACGTTCAAACTACAGTATCCCTAGTACCACAAAAAAGTGTGAAAATAATTTATTGATTTTACTTGAGAAATATCCTCTAGCAAGCTGTTAACTCAACTGTAAGTATATGGGGATTCCTTGAGTGTGTCAGAGAAAGAGGACCTGAAGGATGCCAGCTGACAGTTACATGCTATTTACCCTTGCTTTCCCAGTGTTAAGTGAGGGAGAGGGCTGGTGGAGTGACTAAAGTGGTACAGTGCCTGCCTAGCAAGTGTTGAGGCCCTGAGTTCAAACCCCAGTACTGCCAAAAAAAAAAAGTGAGAGAAAATGTAGAGCTACTTATATTCTGAAGCAATGAACCCTAGAAACCAGGTCACCTCCTAGAGAAACCAATCATCTGGCTTCAAGGACAATGTTTAGTCAATAAAGACCAAACCCTGTGTACATCAGCTCCCAATGTAGGAAAACAAAAAACCTCTCATGTGAGTTAATTTCCTATTTAGTAATGCACCATTGGGAGGTGAAAAGATTGCTCACCTCCTGGTCCAAAAGAGGGCAGAGTTTGAGAAGCTAGAAAAGGTCAAAATGGAAACAGTCACTTCAACAAAATAGGGGGAGGGCAGGGGTGATGGAGGAAGTAGATGCATGAAAGAAACATGTCTTGACTTACTTTTTGGTAAGTCGAGGGTCCAGAGGAGGGTGCTGTGCTCCATAAACAGGCTGGATGCTAAAAGCAAGAGAAAAGGAAGAAGCAAGCTATCAGCAAGCTAAGTATGTTGGCTGAGTACCATGTGTATCACAAAACTGGATAGGACTTTGGAAATAGCTTACCTCACGAACAACTGTACCCAAGCCATCCCAAAAGATAGCAACCCACCCTTTAAAAAAGTCTTTTAGGATGTTCATTTTCCCTAGTGAAGTCTCAGTGCCTTAGGTCAGGAAAGCAGGGTGGAAAGGCAAAAGGTTTAGAGCTGGAGAGAGCAGAGTTCAAATGCCAGTCCTATCATCCAATACCACCATGAAGTTCACCAAGCTATTTCATTCCTTTGGACCTATTTTCTCATCTGTGAAATAGGAATGTCACCCACCTAAAGATGCTGTAGCTCACACTTTTAGTAATCCTATCTACTTGGGAGGCTGAGATTGGGAGGATTTAGACTTCAGGCCAAACCCGGGCAAATAGTTTATGAGACCGCATCTCCAAAACAATATACCCAGAGCAAAATGGACTGAAGGTGTAGCTCAAGCAGTAGAGCACCTGCTTTGAAACTATTAAGCCCTGAGTTCAAACCTCCGTCCCAGCCAGGCACCAGTGGCTCATGCCTGTACACCTAACTACTCAGGAGGCAGAGATCAGGAACATTGAGGTTCAAAGCCAGCCCCAAGCAAATAGGTCAAGAGGTTCTATCTTGAAAATACCCAACCCAAAAAAGGGCTGGTGGTGTGGCTCAAGTGGCCTGCCTAACAAGCGTGAGGCCCTGAATTCAAACTCTAGTACCACTCCAAATACAAACAAATACAAAGTCCCACAACCAAAAAAAAAAAAGAAAAAAAAAAAAAAGGTTTGTCGGTCCAAAAGACAGTGAAGCAATGCTACATGCAGAGGGCAGAGTGACCCAAGGAACTCATGCACTGCAGGTGGGATGTAAAACATTACCACTTCAAAAACTGTCTGGCTGTATCTAGGAAGAATGAAATACGTATACTTTAAAATGCAATATTTTTACTCCCAAATACACGTTAAGAGAAAGATATTGATATGTGTATCAGGAGATATATATAAAACTTCTCAAAACATCATAGCTTGTCTTAACCCTAAACTAGAAATGAATGCTCCACTAGAGTGAGTGAGAGAAAAACTGCAGTGTGTGCATATCGTAGAATGCTACATATCAACAAAAACATATGAAACAAGAGCTACAAAGAGGATGGATCTTATGCCAGGTTAAGCAAAAAAAAAAAAAAAGCTGAGTATGAAAGAGTAAAGTCTGCATGGTTCTATATACTACACAACTGACAAAAATAACTTTTAATGTTTGGGACTGTGCACACAGCAGTAACACGAGAAGGAAGTCAAGGAATGACTAACATCAGAGGATGCAGTGCTCGTGGGGGAGGAAGAGGGACAGAGGACAGACAGGGGCTTCTGGGTGTTCACTCTTCACTTTGTAATTGTTCATCAAATCATCACACTTCACACTTGTTTATGTCACAATTAAAATGACAAAAAGTAACCTGAGAATAATTCTATATCAAAGCAAACTGATGTTCAAGTATAAAGGGGACAGACAAGAACATAGGTGACACTCTCCTGCCTGAAGGGGCAGGACAAGCTTCAACTAACCCTGAGATGAATGGAGAAGCCATGACAAAATGACTGCAGAGGAACCAGAAACTGACCTGACCTCAGGATCAAACTCAAATGTGAGGTTTATGGTTCCAGAAGAGAAGTACAAGTTAATGACATCAGCAACTGTCAAAACAGGAAGGAGGAAAAGGTGGCAAATAACTACATTGGGTTTTTTCAACTTTCACTGACAGAGCCTAAAAGACATTTAAAGCTGAAAGATCAAGAAACAGAAGAAGTATGTTTTAAGATAGAAACAAAAACTAAGACAAACAATATAAGTAACTAAAAGCAGGTGGGGAGAAAAGAGCAGGAAATGTCACTACTGATTTCATCACTGCTTATTAGGGAGTCAGTACAAATTGTCTAAAGAAATATGGAATAGGTGGGCATGATGAGTGCTGAGGCACGAGGATCTTGAGTTTGAGTGAGGTCAACCTGAGCTGCAGTGTGACCCTGTCTCGAAAGGAAAGGAAAGGAAAGGAAAGGAAAAAGGAAAGGAAAAAGGAAAGGAAAAAGGAAAGGAAAAAGGAAAGGAAAAAGGAAAGGAAAAAGGAAAGGAAAAGGAAAAGGAAAAGGAAAAGGAAAAGGAAAAGGAAAAGGAAAAGGAAAAGGAAAAGGAAAAGGAAAAGGAAAAGGAAAAGGAAAAGGAAAGGAAAAGGAAAGGAAAGAAAAGGAAAGGAAGGAAGGAGGGAGGGAGGGTGGGTATGAAGTTATAAGCACAATCACTAGAATAAAAAGATAAACGTTACAAGTTGTCAATATACAATGCATGGCCCCCAAAATAGTCAAAATCCATATAGTGAAAAAAATTTTAAAGGAGAATATGGCTGGGCACCAATGCCTCACACTTGTAATCCTACTCAGGAGGCAGAGATCAGGAGGATCTCAGTTTGAAGCCAGCCTAGGCAAATAGTTCTGAGAGACCCTATCTTGAAAAAACAATCACAGAAATAGGACTGGTGGAGTGGCTTAAGATGGAAGGCCCTGAGTTCAAGCCCTGGTACCACAAAAAAAAAAAAAAAAAAAAAAAATATGAAAACAGAACTAAATCCAACTACATCAGTTACTCCAATAAATACAAATAGGATGAACTCACTTATTAAAAGGAAAGGGATTATTATCAACAGGAAAGTATTTAAATAAATTACAGTACATCTTTTAAAAGGAATGAGGGAATTCTATTATCTATTGACATGAAATAAATTCAGACATTAACCATTAATAAATTCAGAAAAAAGATGCAGAACTACACGTATAATGATGCCATTCTGTAAAAAGGTTTAGAATGTATAGACACACATTTACTTACGGTTAGGTCGATGTATTCATAGCATATCTCAGAATACACAAGACACCAGTAGCAGTGGTTTGAAAGAGGATACAGATGCCTGGAGAGCAGTGCTCCAAGGAGACTCTGTTTTCACTGCAAACCCTTTCATACCTTTCTGATTTGGTATCGTGTACAAGCATCACCTTTATAAGAAATAAATTAAGCAATCTTAATTTAAGAGGGCTGGAAGAAGCTGGGTATGGTAGTACATGCCTGTGGTCTCAGCCCCTGGGAAGCTGAAGCAGGAGAATCATGAATTTGAGGTCAGGCAAGGCCAACCTGGGCTTCAGAGCCAGACCCTATCTAAAAAAAAAGAGGAAAGAAAGGGTAGGAACTGGGCATTGTGGTGCACACCTATAATCCCAGCTATTCAGGAAGGGGACACTGGAGGATTGTGGTTCAAGGCTGGCCCAGGCAAAAATGAGCAAGACCTTATATCAAAAACAAGCTGGGTATGGTGGTGCACACCTACAATTCCAATTACTTGAGAGACTGAGGTAAGAGGAATGAGGTCCAAGGTTGGCCTGGACAAAAGCATGAGACCCTATCTGAAAAACCTACTAAAAAAGAGTGGGGAGTGCCCCCTCATACTGCCCCTCACCATAAAAAAAGTTGGAAAGTTTAAGTGGGATGATGTGTCAGTGCCCTTTGGCACCATTCCTAGTGGTAAGTGGGCACTGAGGCAGACTTGCACAGTACCTAGAGAGCAGTATGCAACACACACTCAGTGTCAAGAAATCTTGGTTTTCTTCCTCCCCAACACACCTGTTTTTATAATGTAATCCTTATCCAACATTTACAAAATGGAACAAGTTTACCAAGTACTTTGTATCACACAACAGAAGTGATCCAAAGATGGCTTTAAATAAAAATGTAGGCACTTCAATCTCTTCCATGCTGATTTCTACTAAGAGTTCCAAGGGGATCTTCTTTTGTCTGATCTTAGTTATGGTTATGGCCTCTACCTTTTTAGTTGTAAGAATCTCTATTCTCTCAATCTCTCTGGAAGGTTATTAGTAATCTGTAAACCAGCCATTACATATATCACAGAAACACAGACTCTGAAAAGCAAATAATATTACTCTAATGTAATTTAAAGTACTTCCTAGGTACAGGGAAAAGACAAAAATAAACAAACAAACAAAAAAAAAAAAACAAGGGAAATCAAAGAGTAAAGGGAAAGATTGCTGGGCATGGTGGTACGCATCTGTAATCCCAGCACTCAGGTGCAGCAGGGAGGAGGATCAGAAGAAAAACAGACTAGGCCTGAGTTCTGATAAAGTAGCTGGGGGTAGGGATGGCACAGCAGAGAGAAACCTGAGGAAAGGGTCATGAAGCACTGGGGAGGGAGGAAAGTCACATAGCACAAAGGTAACTTAGCCTACAGAATTGCATGTAACCATATATGGATTAGGCCTTGCTTTTTGCCTCTGTAACCTGCTTACAAGGGTATATAAGGTGAGACCCCTTTGTTCTTGGGGCTCAGCCTTTGGACATGAGTTCACCGAGTCTGTGCCGGCACAATAAAACATTGCTTCCTGCTAAACTGCCTCAGTGTCCCGTATCTCAGCTTGAGATTCCAACAACATTTCTTGAGAGTTCATCCAGGATTGCAGAGATAGTGGTTTTTTTTCACCTCCCTTGTCACTGGGGTGCATTCCCTGGACCTCCAGGAGAAGATCCTGCCAGGTGCCAATGGACAGCTTGATCCAGAGGAGGGACTTGTCCTCTCAGCAAGTCAGGGTGAGGGCCTCAGACGCACAATGGAACCGGGTGAGGCACAGGAACCAGTGAGGGGAGGGAGCACTGTTTGTCAGACTGGTAAGAACCTGGGTTCAAATTCAGGCCTGCCTCAGGAGGCAGAAGGGGAGACTGATCAACTCCCAGAGAGACACTCTAGTAACTGCCTTTTGGGGTGAAACCGTGTCTCTCAGGTTCAGGGAGTGGGGCAGAATTACTGTGCTGTGGGAAAGTGCAAGCCTGAGACACAGCCTAACTGTGAAGTGAGTGAGGAATCCCAATTCACAGGTCTGTGGCGAACTCACAT